AGACTTGTGTCGTTAAAATTTCGTCGGAACGAAGTTACGGAAAAATCAATTAACGAAATGGAGACGTAACAATACATACAAGGTCAGCTGATAAAGATGAAAAATGCATTACAATAAACCAAGTTTATGTATAATATGATCAAAAATAATAAGATAATTTTTTATAGAAAGTAACTGTATTATTAATTTAAACCTATTTCCTGGAAAGCATTTAAGTTACTACTTACTTAGTTTTTCACCGTAGCTCTGATTCTGGTAGCACTTTCCAGCAATTTCTTTGATATTTATTTGATATACTATGGCCCTTCAGTGTTTACTTACAATCAAAGCAGAACAATGATGCTCAAATAAGGGGTTACAAGAGGCAAAGTTTCCTATGGTAAGTAAGTCAGAGAAAGATTATCAAGTTTCAGTGTTGTACATCAAGCTTTGATTTGAAATTGGAATGTGATTATCTGCATCTTTAGCATGACATGTTGTTTAAATGGTTCAAATAAAGCTTAAAAATTTAATAATGATGCCTTTTGTACTATTATACATTTCTTAACAGTTGTTAAAAGTTCTGACTATGTGTATTATGATTTTACAAAGGTGTCATAACCTGGAGTTATTTACTTAACACTGAAACCCTATTAATCTTGGAAATGAGTGTTTGTGACTTACATGAATAAATACATTGTGCAGAAAGACTTAAAATGTACAAAAGATCAACAAAGTAAAGTAAAATATTTATATGAGGTGTAAAACAACACCATAAAATAACCCCTTCAATAGCATATGCTGTAATAGCCTGACTATGTAACATGTTTAATAGGATGAATACTCTTTGTTTGTTAATTGTGCATAGGAAGTAATAAATACTCTTTAACATTAGGCTGATTAATATGTTTTTATGAATATATACAGCAATACACTTACTAAATGCATTATGATATTACCGTGTCAAGCATTTTAAGACAGACATGGAATAAATACCTTTTCAAATTACCTTTGTTGTACCAACCTTACTAATAATTCACTCTGGTTGATGCAGTTTTATCAAACATGTAAAATTAAATTACTAAAAATAGCAGAACTGAAAGTATATTGTTATGCAATTATCCAATCATTTGAATTTCTAGTCTATTAAATGTATATGTAATGAGATTATGGGTTCATGAACCATGCACAACAAGATAGCTTTCCACTAGCATCGATTTCTAGGAACTGGCACTCATTTATGACTGTAGTCCTATGGGTTTATTCATTTCGATTTCCCAACACCATAATAACTCAGAAAGAGTCAATGTTTCAAACCCTAATGATGCTGT